GCACACATTTATTTTATCCTTGTCTTTAGCCAATGTCTCTGTCTTTATTCTTCTCTTCCTTCTTCTTTGGGATTGAGGACATAAACTCAGGTTCTGCAATAAACTTCTAAACCAGCAAAGGGAAAACATAGTGAATTAGCACTATACAAACTACCCAAACCTTCTCCTGAACTCAGTGAAAGAATTAGGCCCAATCCTGATACATAAAAACAAAGGAGGCCTTCAAAGCAAGCTCATATTTTAAGCATCTACAATGCTTGATCTCTTACAAATAGACATCACACATGTCTAGTTCCTAAACTTGCTATATGAGAATCTCCTGATATCATTGTTAATAAACGGATAATCAGACTTCTCCCCTAGAAGTTTAGATTTAATAAATACATGTGCACTGGAGCCTAAGAATCTGTTTTTACAACAAGAACCAGACAATATTTAGTTTCAGGAAGTTCAGAAATCACTTACCAAAGTCAATACTTAAAAAGCAGCAGTTATAAATCTAGTATAATCACACAGGAAACTTTTAAATATGCCAACACCGAGGCTTATGCCAGAAATTCTGATTTAATTGGATCAAGAGTAAGGCCTTAATGTTGATAATTTTTAAAATCTCCCTAGGAGATTCTGATGTGTAGTCAAAGTTAAACACCACTGAATTAAAGATAATTATTGTTCTGAAGTAAAGACTTACTTAAGGGGTGAGAAAAAGAGATTTGTATCATAAATAACTGTCATTCATTACTGTATAACTCCTGATAAATCCTTGATCTTTAATAAAGAAATGGATCTCAAATTAAACTTCCCAAGGGTGGAAGCAGGCCAAAGCCACTTAAATAATTATGCCTATATCATTTTAGAGTAAGTACATTAAAAAGAAACTATATTATGAATAAAAATGCTAGAATTAGAATGACCTAACCTAAGTCATATTTTGAGATGTACATATATATATATATGTTCTCTAATAAATTCAGCTTGGTAAACTTACATAATTCTTTATTCGTTATACTCCTAATAATGATTACTAAGTACCAGGCCCTGTTCTAAATACTGCACAAATATTAATTTAATCCTTATGACAAACCTATGAGGAAGGTTCCATTACTATTTTCATTTTATAGATGAGTAAACTGAGGCACAAATTAAGAAACTTACCCAAGATCACACAGCTTGCAGGCCAAAGAACTGGCATTCAAGCAGTTCGGTCCTAAGTCCATGCTTATAAACCACATGCTACTCAAGATGGCATGTTTAGATAATTTTTAAAAATTAAACCGATGACATCTATCCCTTTAATTATGTAACAAATTATTATATGCAGCTCTGCAGCTATTTTAGAAGTGCTTATGAACATAAATACGAAGAACGTAGACTACTTGGGTTTCAAGTCCTTTGTCAACAATTGCCAGTTATCTAATTTTGTCAGCACTATAATGGGTGCTGAGGATACAGTGGGGAGCAAAACAAACTCGGTTCATGCCTGTACTCTTCAAGGATATTGAAAAAGTCACTGAAGGTGAAGTTCACTTCCATCCTTCCAATAAGCATTTATTGAAAGCCCTGCGTAGAGAGGCTGACAGAGTACAGAACAAAATACACTTCTCACATTATGGAGCTCGCAGTCCAGTGGGCATGGTGGACAACATGCAAGTAAATAAGAAACTAATTACACAATGTAAAGTGCTGAGAATAAAAAGAAACAGCTTGCTGAGATAAAGAGGGGACCCAGAAGATAAGGAAAACTCTTCCAGAGTGGTCCTGGAAGACTCTGCAGAGAAAATGACACCTGAGCCAGCCTTGTGAAGAACCAAGGTCAAGAATACTGCAAGAAGAAAAACCATGGGCAAAGGACCAAGGCAGAGAACAGCTTGAAAGTGTTGGTGTGTCTGAGGAACTGAAAGATCACCCTGGTTTCACAGTGGTATGAGAGGAGTTTGAAAACAGAGTGTGGGCCATACTATTAATACATATGCAAAGGTTTATGTGCCAAAGCAAGAAATTTGGATTCAATTCAAAGTATAATGCAAAGCCACTAGAAGGTTTTAAGCAGAGGGATAAAATTATATCCTTCGTGTTTTAAAAAGATGCGTCTGATTCCTTATAGAAAACAGATTAAGGCGGTCACTAGAAGCCTAGGTGAGCAATGATGGTGGCTAAGTTTAAGGGCAGTGCAGATGGAGAGAAGTGGATGGATTTGAGACATATTTTGGGGGTAGGATCCAGACAGCAGGCTGAAAGAGAGAAGATAAATGGTGTCACTTCAAGATCTTCAGCGTGACCTCTTTACTTTGTACAGAACTGTGACTAAACCAAATAATCACATATTCGAATGTTTGTATGGATGATATTGTGAAGTACATATATATTTGGTCTTCATCCCAGTCATATGGGATTCTAAAATCCTTAGAATCTTCAAAGTAATAAGTGTCTTTTTGTATGCTAATGAGTTGACTGATGGTTGGCAGCCCCTAGGTAAATCCAGAATGAGGGTCAGTCACCAGACCAAGGTGGGATTAGAGGTTTGGGACTTTCAGCCTCACCCCAAGGAGGTGGCAAGCCCAGGGAGGGCATGAAAGCTCATGCCCCCTTCCCCCATATCGTGCCCCATACATCTCTTCATCTGTGTCCTTTGTAATATCCTTTATAATAAGCCAGTAAACCCAAGTGTTTCCCTGAGTTCTGTGGGCCGCTCTAACAAATTAATCAAACCTGAGGAGGGAGTGATGGGAACCTCAACTTACAGTCAGAAGTGCCGGTAAAAACAACCTGGGGCTTGTGGTTGCCATCAGAAGTGAGGGGCAGTCTTGTAGGACCGAGCCCTTAAACTGTGGAATCTGATGCTACCTACAGGTAGACGGTATCAGAATTAAACTGAATTAGAGGATGCCCAGCTGGTGTCCACTGCAGAACTGACTGCTTGCTTGCTAGTAGGGAGATATCCGCACACATTCCTGAAGTGGGAATTTTAAAAATTAGCAATGTTAAGTCCTCAATCTTGATCCAAATAAATCAGAATTTCTGGCATAAGCCTCGGTGTTGGTATGTTTAAAAGTTTCCTTGGTGATTGTTACAGAAGCATTCTGTGCTGTCAATGTGTAGTAGGAGAAACTAAGTTTGTTTTTTCTACCCAGTATGTGTTTAAATAAGCTCTCACAAATTCCTAATGACCCCTCCACCCACTGACAACCGAATAAAACCCAATTCCTCAGCCTGCTATTCAAGACTCTACATAATAAAGTCCCACACACTCTTTCCAGTCACAGCAGTCCCCTCCTGTTACACATATGCCACCCTAAGTCAGTGTCCCTTCCTGGTTCTTCTAACACTTTCCTGCTGCTAGTTTGCTCTTACTTAATCCCTCTGGTTGGAAGACACTTCTGCTTTCAAATGGCACTTGTGAAAACCCACCCGATATTCAAAATTTCAAGTACCACCTCTCTCTCTCGCAAAGCTTTTCCTGATCCCCTAATTGAGTAAAATAATTACACAAGGAGAAGTACTATGTCGAGGGTGGGGAGAGAGACAGAAGACAGGTCCTCCTCCGAATTGCCATAGTATATGGGATCCTTTTATTATAATTCACATGATCTTTGGTATAGGATGGTACTATCCTGATCCTCTCCATGAGATTTACATAATCATTAAAGGTAGGTACTGTTTCCTATTCATTCTGTATCCCCTAACAAATGAGGCATGTGTCTTTTAATAAGTATAAACGCCAAATTTGTTTAGCTGAACTGAAAGTCAAATATAAGTTATTTGGAAGTTATTCACTGATATTCCCAAGCCTCAGTTTCCTTCCATTATAAATGCTTGCATTTATTCATTCTCTCACTCACTAAAACATTTGCAATTAACAAGCAATGTGCCAGGTAATGAGAATAAACAATGAATAAGACATGGTCTTTGCACCCAAAGAGTTTAGAGTCTAGTGAAGAAGGGCATAAATTATGATAAAATAATGTAGTAAGTAAAATATTCAAAATATGTGCATGCTTAAGCCATCTTGGGGGTGGGAGAGCAGTGGCAGTGTTTAGAAAATGATTTCTAGAAAAGTGACAAGTGAGGTAAATAGTATTTACCAAGGAGAAGAGGAATAAAAAGAATATCTCAGGTCAAGAAGACAAAATGAATGCTGCCACAACAGCAAGTACAACATCTAGGAAAAAAACTAAGCACACTTCTGTATTCTTGCAGTGGAGAATAAAATAAAGAATGGTAAAGAGCTGAGGAGAGAGGCCAACAAGATCATTGCATGCTGTAACAGGCACCTGAACTTAATCCCTTGGGCCAAAAAAAGCTATTAAAGGGTTTAAAGCAGGGTTGGAACATGGTAAGACTTGCTTTTACCCCAACGGTATACGGACAATTTGACAGGGACAAGACTAGAGGCAGACCAGTTAGCAGTTGTTAGAGCGGTTTGAGAGTAAGATAAGGAGAACTGGACAGCAGACAAAGGAAAGGAGAAGACAACCTAAAGAAATATTCCAAACTTTTCTGATCTACCATATCATGGAACTCACAGTCAAATCTCAAAAACTAGTGACAGTATATATGAAATACTCTAATTCCTGAAACATGACTGTAGCTCAATAAATTACTAACATAATCATTATTATTACCAAAAGATAAGTCCATAAAAATAATTAATTACAATAAAATAAACTAGCACTGCCACTTAGGTAAAAATAGTTGAACGTTACCAAAAAAGTGGCTGAGGACTTTAGGCTCCCCCAAATCTCC